ACTCTTTTCCCTTTTTTCTTTAGCAAACTGAGGCTCAGATTTGTATTATGACAAGGCCAAAGACAACCACACCATGGCTGCAACACACGATTGCATATGTGAGTTATGCTTCTCAATTACAGGCCATACTGGGTTGCACTGGCAAGATACAAGTTGAGTAATCTCAATGCCCAAATTTAGTAAGCCCAGAAATCATCACTGCCTCTTTATTAATTTTCATAGTCATGTTATTGTTGTATAGTTGTGGATATTGCCTTATGAGCATAAAAAATGAAATGAAACTCAGAAAGTCAAGTATACTCTCTCTGTCTCTTTCTTTTTTAAGGGCAGTTGGTTTGTTAAAAAGAAATGGAGAATCATAGGGAAAACATCGAGAGAAGGTCAACTACCCTGGATAGAAATCCGAAACTGTTTGCTGCCTCATTCTTGCCTTTTGTAGGCTAACCTAACAAAAGGGAATTTACAAGACTTCAAGTGTCTTTCAGCCAATTCTTTCTCCTGAGGCTCAGATTTGTTATAAAACCAGGCAAAAGTAGACAAAGCAACCGCCATGACTGCAGAGCTCGATTGCAAAACGAAGATGCCTTGCTGGGTTTCCTCGTCAAGTAAGGGTAACTCCATTTCCTGACCCAACTCTATGCAACTTCGTTTTTCATCATCACAGCCTTGGGAGTATTTGTTGGTGCAAATCTGAAACTTGGAATAAAAATGCTAGGCATGAAAATTCTATTACAAGATTAGAACATGAGCAAGATAAAATTTGAAAGAGATTATGTGTCCTAGGAGACTTAGAAAGAGACGTTGTAATCTCTAGTGCATTCAGGATTAATAAGAATGCAGTCTTAAGATAATTTTGAAATGTTGGTGAAAGAAATGAAGCTAATTATAACTGAAACATGCAGTAGAAAAAATCAGCTCTTGTTCAGGTCAGGAACAAATGGCAGGACTAGTTTACCTTCTTTCGACTCCCCTAGATCTTGTAATTTGCTATTCCAGATGTTCATAAGTTTCATTTTCACACTTGACCTGAAGAGAGAAACATTAGGTCGTGCGAGTTACTAACATACTTGATTGAGATAATATCAGAAAGAGACTAAATCCTCCAAGAAAATTGATAACATTATCTTTCATCAGAGAAAACATGTAATGACCCCCTCTTGGTCATTTCTGTGTTTTGTCTTTTGTGCGTCGTATAGAGCGTTCCTATAGCGACCCAAGTCATTTATGACTTGTTGGGACTGACAGTTCGGTCACCTGGTCGTTCGTTTGGTTATTTGCGAGTTTTAGTGTTTTTGGGCTTATGAACCTTGAACGACCATTTTTGATCAAAAGTTCAAGAAGATTACATCAGTTTCCAATTCTAACGATTTCATCAGCTCCGGGAGGGTCATTTTAGGCTAGTAACATGGTCGGCACAACTTCCGAGGTTTTCAGTGTGAGTTGGTGCGATTAAGCGTTTTAACTATTAAGTTTAAGTCTAAGTTTGACTTTAGTCAACATTCTGAGTAAACGTGCTCGAATGAGAATTCCGTCAGCGCGGCTAGGTCTCGAATGTCGAGTTTGCTCTAGTTTGACCCTTCTTTTGTGTCATGAGGTTTCCGATATTTTTTTCGAGCCCTTTTGTGGGTTTTCACTTAAAATGACATTTGGGTGTGGGACCCACTTTTTATCAAGATGACTTTGATGGAAAATTTTGACTGCGCCGTTGAGTCCGGAATATCGATTTTAGTAGGGTAGCATATCTGTTTTATTTTAATCAAACGAATTCCGAGCATCCCATTGGAGACTTTGAAGAAATTAGCCAAAGCTGAAATCTGGTGCAGCTCTTTAGCGACCAGGTTTTGGCTTTAATGAGCAGTTTTTTTGGGCTTTTTAACGACTAGGTTCGCCCTTTTAAAATCCCAAAATTAAGCCTTTATGCCTCATTTTAAAGATGCGATATTTTGAGCTATAGAGCTCCAATTTGGGCGATTCAAAATGCTAAGTTGTGGGATTTTTCGAGGACAATGTGTTGTTAAGCTTGGAATCTGATTTGAGGTCCCCGTTTGAGGTAAATTTTGTAAAATACCTGCTGTCACGACCCCCTTTTTGTGAGCTTGATTTTGGAAGTTTTGAGACTTGTTTTCTCAGCCATTTTAGGTTCGATTCTAGTGATTTTTGAGGATATCTTGAGTTGTTTTTTGAGAAGAACATGTTGGCGTGGTTGGAATTCGTATTTGAAGTTTCACTGAAGGTAAAAATGGTGTTTTAACTGCTGTCATAGCTCATTTCCGAGCTCAACTTTTGGAAAATTTTAGAAGTTGATTTTCTGGCCAAGTTAGGTCCGAATTTGGTGATTCAAGAGCCTAAATTGTAGGTTTTTCGTGAGAATCATCGTGGTGTGATTGGTTACAGCAATTGGACCTCCGTTTCTGGTGAATTCTTGTAAATAGCTGCTGCCATTGTTGTTGTTTTTAGCGTAACATTGGGGTTTTGGTTGCATGCTCGTGTTGGGACTGTTTCGAGCTCCAAATTGTGTTCCAATTTGTAACAGAAGTTTGGAGAGCTGTTTAGGACTTATATTTGAGGTTAATTCTGAAATTTTCAGTGTGGGTCCCACTTTTTCCATTTTAACTCCAAAATTGGTCCGTTTCCGTTTCTTGTGATTTTAGTGTCTAAACTACCGTAATAAAGTTGTGACTCTATTTTGTATAGTGTGTCAGCGTTTCGAGGACCTTCGAAAAAAGGAAAGCTCCAGAGAAGTGATTTTTGGAGCGCGTGTGAATTGCCTACAGGTAGGCTACGATTTCCTCCTTTTAGATTGAACTCGAACATGTGAATGCATGTTGATTAGTAGGGATTTGGGTTGGATAGTTATTGAATCATGCATAGATATTAGAAATCATGTTTTCGGCCTATTTTCGGAAATTAGCGGGTAATTGTGAGCATGCTTTGTGTTTTTAGTCGACCCTCTTTGCTATGTGGAGTACTTGTATGCTTGATTACTGTTTATTTGAAGTATGTTGAGCCTTAATTCATGTATGGCTAGGGCTTGCCTTAGAAATGCATGATTCGGAATCGGTAGAACTTAGTTCTGCCCCAACGTCGCTCGGCCGGCTTAAATCCTTGTAGACTGGTGCAGCAGACTTGAGTCTAATAGTTTGGGCCTTAGCTAGGTGATGATCTTGCTCCGGCAATAGTTATCCTTATTTCTTCGATGTTACGGCTTCACAATTTACGTTGGTGACACTGAGTTCCGCTCCACAATTCGAAGTTGGTTTTCAATTCGATTCCAAGGACTTGATTGGCTAAGTGTGGATGGCGTTCCACGGGTATATATGATTAGATAGACACTCTTTCAACAGCTATATTGGCACCTTTATCAGGCATTCGGGTTCAAGGCCCAATGATTTTCGAAAAGCATCCGGTTCAAGGTCCGACCTCGATTATCCGCAAACTTATGTAGAGAATCCGGTTCAAGGTCCGGTCTCGATCACCCGCATACTTAGTAAAGCATCCGATTAGAGGTCTGACCTCAGTTACTTATACTTGTGATTGGCTACTTGGGTACTTTTGGCGAGTGTCCGGTTCGAGGTCCGGCCTCCGTACCATCAGATTATACTAATTGGGTTTGACGTTCTGGTTCGATGTTCTTTGGCCTTGGGATCTATTCTCTTTAGTTATCTGTGTACTCGTCGGGCTTATGAGGGTCCGTTCGGATTTTTTTTAAAACTTGCGCATGCGTTTATCTTCAGGACTTATGGGGGTCCAGTTAGGTGTAGTTAACTTACATATTACTTAGTTAGTTCTTTCTACACTCGTGTGCATTCTATTGTTACTTAGACTTCCGTTCCTGACCTCCGGTTGTGTTATTCCTTATTTTCAAATTGCTTTTACCTTTCAAGTTCAATTGGCCTATGATGCCTACTGGGTACCTATTGTTTGGTACTCATGCTACGTTCTGCATCTATTTTCGTGATGCAGATCCAAGCACCAGTAGCCACCGTTGGTCGAGTTCTGGAGACAAGGGTGAGCATACAGTGTCCTGTACTATTTCAGCTCCATCTGTACATATATAGACTTGTCTTTTACCTTTCGAGGCAGTCCAATTTTGGTAGTCCACTTTTGGGACTTGTACTCGTTTTGTTGGTAGAGCTTTGTACTAGTGACTTCCAAGTTCTGGGAAGATCTTTATTTGTATATACGTTTTGGTTTCCTTCCACCTATTTATATTGTTATAGTAAATTTTGCCTACTCTTGTTTAGTTTCTACCCTTAGACCCATTATATGCTGTTTCTGGTTATGGGTAGGCATACCTACTGGTGGGTTATAGTAGGTGCCATCATGACTCGAGAAATCGGGTCATGACACATCATCAGATCATCTCCATCATAATATCAGGATCTGAAAACAAGTATCCAACTTTCCCCAAATAAGTTATGGCAGGGAGATGATGTTCCATGTTTCCAAAATTATAAGTGACAACAACTTCATGTTTAAAAGAAGCTTCAATCCCATTCTCTGCGATGTAAGGATTATCATCTTGAAACCTGGTCCCAAGCAAGGGATCTGGCGGAGGAATAGTTTTGGACTAAACGATAGAAGGCCGACAAAGTTACTTCCGGTCCAGAGATTCACCATAGCATCCACAATAAAGAGAAGGATGGGGCACCAACCCTACAAGTACCATTAAGAACCAACTAGTCACCATAAGAGATTCTTGAAAAACACATCAAAAATAGCTTTTTCAGATTAAAACAATCAGTATCAATGGTGCCATAACAAAGGAAATTAAATGCTGCACATCATTTCTGGCAAGTTGATCCCATAGCTAAAACGGAACAAAAATGTCGAAGTCACGTGTTTTAATGGACGAACAAGAACCACACACACACACCTCTTCTTTATTTTGCCTTTTTTGTGGTGATAAGTCAAACCAGTCCACTCTTAACCTACATATGGTACACAAAGGAGGAACTCTAAACTGGTGATTACCAGCATTTCTAACAAATAAGATGGCATTGAAGTCAATAGCTTATTATTTTACTCATAGCAAATTGTCTACAAATCCGACAATGAAATCATTTGAAATAAAATTCAGTAATCCTAAGAAGTGCAACAGTTCTCAATTAGGTAGGCTTATACAGAATTACCAGTTGTACAAATTATCTTGCTACAATCATCAATTCCAAGGTACAAATACCTGCAGTCATGTAAACAATGGCAAGAACCAAGACCAAGTTAGTTGTTTTATATCTATCCTAATGGATACTACCAAGTACCAACTAAAACTCAAAAGAACTTTACCTTCAAAACCTTAAGATATCCCATTAGCCTCCTGTGAGGTTTAGTGAAAAATTCCTACAAAGACATGTTAGAAATCGAGCTCAAAGCCTCTCCTCCTTTAAGGCCAAAGTTTGCTGGGAAAGCATATATAATTTCTGAATTGAAGCATTTTGATGTCGCTCATGTAACGCAAGCATATGAAACCATAGTTAAAATGGCCAGACACAAAAGAGGCATAATAGAAGATGAAGGAATAGGCACACAAACTGTCTGCATAAGCTGGTTATAAGTACCTAAGCACCAATATGTATGTCCTAACTCAACTCAACTAGAAAAAATAATCAAAACATCTATTCATACATACAGTTTTGATCAATAAAAATATGTTTAATCTCTCTCTCTCTCTCTCTCTCTCTCTTAGGACGCAGTACAAGTAAAACCACAAAAACGTAAGCATCAATATTTTGGGGTATGTACAGCCATACCAGTTTTCCCAATTACAAGTGAAACCACAAAACAATAAATAACAGAACATCTGTAAAAAAATAAACAGAAACTGTCCAACAGCCTACTTGATCTTTATCCTATTGACTACAACAATTCCAAGTTAAGAACATAGTTGTAAAGCAAAATAAATTATGTACAGCAGCATCAATACAATTGAAAAGATGTCAGTCCAAACCAACTTCATGCTCAGAGATAAGTTTAACTGTACTGAATGCCGCAAAAATTAGTGCAACGGATTTCTGGTAAATGGCAATTTTATCAAGTTTCATGGACTAATTGTGATAAAAATCTAAACAAAGATCCGTAACTTACCTGGTACATGATCTTGATGCTAGCGAATGAATGTTGCAGGTCCAAAACAGTTCTGAATTTGGTCAGCAATAGTTGTGTAATGATTGGTAACCCATTTCAGGGATGACCTGCAAAGGCATGACGAAGACTCAAAATAATGTTACCTATTATAAAGAGTTTCAAGACTTCCCCACAAGCCAAGCGGCACATGGCAAAGATAAACTCTTTAATTCACATTAGATGACCATTAATGTACCAATTCTTGCTCGGAACCAAGATAGGTTATTGTCCTCTTTATCCAGATAGGACCTCTTCACTAAGTTACAGACTCCAAATTGAAATAACACATCAATGAGTTTTTAAAAAATCATTACCTTCTCAGGCAGTTCTTCCATTACGAATCCGGTCATCTACAGCATGAACATGACAATGAGTGTAACGTTCAACAAAGATAAATGCAAGAATCAAACAGAAGATCATAATCTTGACTATATAGAATCAAATAAAAGATCATAATCTTGACTATGTAAAAAGGGACGCACATTTATTCTGACATAAGAATATACTCCTCCGCCAAACAGTCACAGAGTGATGAAACAAAAGATAAAACACCTATGTATAAATCCCAATACTCTTTACTGTCTCATTCTTGCCTTTTTTTGGCTAACCTAACAAAAGGGAATTCACAAGACTTCAAGCGTCTTTCGGCCAATTCATTCTCCAGAGGCTCAGATTTGTTATAAAACCAGGCAAAAGGAGACAAAGAAACCGCCATGGCTGCAGACCTCGGTTGCAATACGGAGATGCCTTACCAGGTTGCCTCCCCAAGAAAGGGTAGCTTTATTTCCTGACCCAACTCTATACAACTTCATCTGTCATCATCACAACCTTATCCTATAATTAAAAGCTAGCATTGGTAGATAGACCTTACCCCGGTCTTTTGTGGGGGACAAGAGAGGTTGTTTCCAATCGACCTCAGCTCAAGAAAGTCACAGCCCACAACCAGTACTGGGAAAAAAACCCAGAAACTGCAGTGTACTCTGTCTATGTCTCTTTATCTTTTCTAAGGGTTGTTGGTTTGTTTAGAAAATGGAAGAAATCACAGGCAAAGCACAGAGAAGGGGAACCACCCTTGAATAGAAATCTCATTATTCTCTCTGCTGCCTCATTCTGAGCTAATCTAACAATAAGGGGTTCACAGGTTATTACTTGCAAAACCGAAAATGCAAACTAACATAAGTGCAGAACTTCAAAAAAGATCGGGGCTTACTAGAGAAGCGAGGCAACCACCCCTAAAACCCAATATTTCATACAAGATAAATACAAATCTTGAACATTCTTTACACACGTGGCAAGAATAACAACATAGTTTTTTTTTTAAAAAAAAGATCTCTTGAATTTCCTGAATATATAAGATGTAAAATGTCGATATATTCTTGAAAACAACATTTTCTTTGATTTCCTAAAATTATGCATCTAAGAATACCAATGCAACTTTAAAAAGCCAACAAGTTCTTGAATTTTTGTTAAAGATCGTGCAAGAATTCCAAGAAAATTTGCCAAGATCAAGTTCTTGAATTTCGCTTCTTTCTTTTTAATGGATGCAAGAATATCAACATAATGGGAAGAATGGTAGATTGGAGGGAAAATTGATTTAGGATCTTGATCGGACATCGTCAATGGGACAATTAAGAGCATCAACCTGGTGGAGTACTCTAAGATAAGTCGTATCAAGCGTCTTTCAGCCAATTCTTTCTCCTGAGGCATAGATTAGTTATAAAACCAGGCAAAAAGAGACAAAGCAACCACCATGGCTAGCAGATCTCGGTTGCTCCAATTCCTGACCCAACTCTATACAAATTCATATGTCATCATCACAGCTTAAGGGCTGTTAATTTGTTTTAAAAAATGGAGAATCACAGGGAAAGAATAAAGGCTACTAAGTAATAACTAGGAATGCGTCTAGGCGCAGTTAATATACTTACTTGTACTTTATAAAGGGGGAGGCTAAAGCAGGGTAGCGAGAGAGAAGGGAAACCACCCTTGATAGAAATCCCATACTCTCTGCTGCCTCATTCTTGCCTTTGTTAGGTTACCTAGCAAAAGGGAATTCACAAGATGTCAAGTGTCTTTAGGCCAAGTATTTCTCCTGAGGCTCAGATTTGTCATAAAACCAGGCAAAAGGAGAGACAAAGCAACCGCCATGGCTGCAGACCCTGGTTGGAAAACAGAGATGCTTTACCGGGTTGCCTTGCCAAGATGAGGATAGCTCCAATATCAGAAACAATTCTATACATCTTCATTAGTCATCATCACAACCTTAAGGGCTGTTGGTTTGTTTTATAAAAATGGAGAATCACAGGGAAAGCATAAAGGCTACTGAGTAGTAACTAGGAATGTGGCTAGCTCAGCTAGTATACTTACTTGCTCGTTATAAGGGGGGAGGCTAAAGCAGGGTAGCGAGAGAGAAGGGCAACAACCCTTGATAGAAATTCCATACTCTCCGCTACCTCATTCTTGCCTTTAGCCTAACAAAAGGGAATTCACAAGACTTCAAGCTTCTTTGAGGCTCAGATTTTTCAAAAAACAAGGCAAAAGGAGACAAAGCAACCGCCATGGCTGCATACCTCGGTTGCAAAACAGAGAAGCCTTACCAGGTTGCCTCACCAAGATAAGGGTAGCTCCAATTCCTGACCCAACTCTATACAACTTCATTTGTCATCATCACAGCTAAAGGGCTGTTGGTTTGTTTAAAAAATAGGGAATAATAGGGAAAGCATAAAGGCTACTAAGTAATAACTAGGAATGGGTCTAGTTCAGCTTGTATTCTTGCTCGTTATAAGAGGGGAGACTAAAGCAGGGTAGCAAGAGAGAAGGGCAACAACCCTTTATAGAAATCCCATACTCTCTGCTGCGTCATTCTTGCCTTTGTTCGGCTTAACCTAACAAAAGGGAATTCACAAGACTTCAAGCGTCTTTCGGCCAAGGAGAAAGGCCTTACTCCTGAGGCTCAGATTTTCATAAAACCAGGCAAAAGTAGACAAGGCAACCGCCATGGCTGCAGACCTCGGTCGTAAAACAGAGATGCCTTACCGGGTCGCCTCGCCTCGCCAAGATAAGGGTAGTCCAATTCCTGACCCAACTCTATATAAATTCATTTATCATCATCAAAGTATTGTACTATAATTAAAAGCTAGCATTGGTATATAGACCTTACCCCGATCCTTTGTGGGTGACTAGAGAAGTTGTTTCCAATAGGCCTCAACTCAAGAAAATCACAGTCCACAACCAGTACTGGAAAAAAAAAGAACTGTAGTATACTATCTGGGGAAAAAAACCAGAATCATAGGCAAAGCATAGAGAAGGGAAACCAGCCTTGAATAAAAATCCCGTTAATCTCTCTGCTGACTCATTCTGAGCTAATAAAATCCAATTACAAATTGAACATCTTAACACAGGCGGCAAGAATAACAACATAATGTTTTAAGAAAATATTTCTTGGATTTCCTTAATACGTACAATGCCAATATATATAGAAAGCCAACAAGTTACAATGCACGCAAGAATTCCAACATAATTTGACAAGAACTTGATAAAGAAAACAGGTTCTTGATTTTTTCATAATTTAGGGTTTCGATCGGAAATCATCAATAGGACAAACACAGCAGGTTTAGTTCCGAGAATTACAAACCTTTTTTATTAGGATTAGGATAGAAGAAATCCGGTGGAGTAACGACGGTAGCGTATGAAGTTGAGCATACTTCTGTAATAGGCGGTGGGATGTTTTTATAGTTTTGGCAAAAACAAATAAGTTACTTAATACTATAAAATATATTATTTTTAGTAACTTTCTAGCACTTAACTTATTATTATATATAATAACTTAAATTATTTAACTCATGCAATTTTCACAAAAAGATGCAAAAATCTTAATCCTAAATTATGTAATTATAAATTAATATTTTTTATATATAAAATAATTTTTTAATTAAAATATAGAATTTAGCTTAAAGATAATTTTGACACTACCACCTTTTCGTGGTAATTTTCACTAAAATCACCACAAGAAACTGCAGCAATTGTTAACATCAGTCCAACAACGATTGTTTTTTATATCATCTATTTGATCATGTAAATATAATCGATCAAATTGAAAACTTGTGGACATAAATAAAAAAATTACGTACATTGATTGTTTTGAAAAATATAATTTAAGAGTGAAAAATTAATTTTTAATTCAGAAACCTTTAAAGTGTATATATTTTGGAAATTCTATATTTAAATTATATATAGAGTTTTCTATTATTTATAGATTATAATCTTTATATATTTCAATAGATGCATACAAATCATGAACGAACAAACGAGAATTATTCTATGTATATAACATGCCAAAAATTCAGACAATTTTCCATTTATTTTCTTGGATCAATTTTCGAAAAAGAATAAAAAAATAAACTTAACCTAACAATTTTATTAGGTGGTCGATACACCATCATTTATTAGTATAAAGTCAACACATCTTCGCTAAAACATTGCTAAATATTCCAACTTTCATGGAATGTTATCTAGATAATTAATAAGAAAATTCTTATAATAATTGTTATTATAATAATTTAAGATTGAATTTTGATAATTATTTTTAAAATTTAATAATTTTTTTTAATTTTTATTCTTTTCAGTAAATTTTGAAAATGAGTAATCGATTAATAAAAATAAAAAAATATGAAAAAACTATAAAATTAATGCCAAAAAATCACAAATAAATACAGTAACCTTAAATACTTGTATTTCTTTAAAAAAAATATAACTTTTATTTTCGTTCTCAATTAAAAGATAATTTCACGAACTTAGGAAAAAAGTTTATTGGTGCATATTTCTGTGTGTCTTTCTTTATTCGGAAAAAGGGCCTAAAATACCCTTAAAGTATTGGAAATGGTACAAAATTACTCTCCATCCACTTATTGGGTCCAAAATACCCTTGTCATCCACCTTTTGATTCAAAATTGACCACTTATTTTACGGTTTTATATTTAAATATTTTTTAAAATACATGGTGCTCAACTATATGTTATAATTTAACTTATTAGTATAATTTATAAATTAATCCACTACCAACCCCATTAATAATTAAATCCCTCTAAATTAATGAACCAGTCAATTTATTAATGCAAGCTTCTGCCAATTTAGTGTTTTTAAAAAATTATAGAAGTAAATTATCATACATTCAAGTGGCTAAATGAAAATCACCAATAAACGTAAAAGTCTAACTATGTTTATCTTAATTATTCTTACGTCTCAATTATGTGATGTTACTTCATAGGTAACTTTTTTTCAAAATAATATATTAAAGTTTTAAAACAAATCATAAATATTTATAAAATTATATTTTAAAAAAGTGCATGAACCGGGATGTATTACTTCTTTACCTTTAATCATAAATTTCTAATTCTATTTTGAAAGAAAGTGTCCTCCTAAATAAGCGGCTCAACCTAAATTTAATTAGGACTCCGATTTGGACTCGAATAATTTTGAATATCATTTTCAGAAATCTATAATTTCATCGTGTTTTAGTAGTGTTTATGACGATTTTGATATTATAATTGGATTATTAATTGGGTGAGGTATAGTTGGTAATGATTGTGTAGTGGATTAGTTTATAAATTATATTAATAAATTGTAATTATAATCAATAATTGAACGTCAAGTATTTTAAAAAATATTTAAAGAGTTTAATTTTAAAACAATTAAAAAAGTGGTCAATTTTGAACACAAAGGTGTATGACAAGGGTATTTTGGAGCCAATAGGTGGATGAAAAGGGCATTTTGGAGTCAATAGGTGGATGAAGGATAATTTTGTACCATTTGTCATTACTACCTTAATCCTCCTGAAATTTCTAACATATTTTGTTGGGATTTGTGAATACCTCTTGATAATGATATAATCCGAGCTTAAATGAAGAAATGTATATTCATATAGCCAATTCAACTTGTTTGAAAACTGGAATGTAGTAAAGTAATTATTATTGTTGATGTTGATATGGTAAACACCCAAAAGGAATATTGCTTATCTTTTGGTTAGAGATGAAAGGAAATGGTATAATCAAGAAATGATGAAGAACATGTATCTTGATCTATGCTAATGATTATTGTTCCTTTGTCTTCTTGATTTTCCAATTAACCAAACAGGTCTTGAAGCACTCTCATAATCATCAGGGTACAATCTGATAACATCTAATTGCATATTTGGTCAAGTATCTATGGCTTATGTTATTATCCTCAATTTCGCAGCTGCTATTTGTTTCTCTTGCCTTCTCCTCTAGATTGGCAAGTATAGCAAGAATGATGTAAAATTCATTGAGGCTCTCTCTTGAAGTAAAATATCAGGAAGAGGAAACAGAAAGGGAATATTGATTCTTTGCTTTGCATCAATGGGGGAAGTGAATTATAATGCCTTACAAATCAATGTCAAAAATGAACAGAGTGCGCATCCGGGGAATCGAACCCCGGTCAGTACCGTGGGAGGGTACTATGATACCACTACACCAGATGCGCTTCTTGTCGTTGACGTACAACTAAAGTTAACTAATTCCTTAGAATTTAGGGGGAAAGGCAAACAAATATCTGGAGATGATGTAACATAAGGATTTTCATATGAAGTGAAAAAAGTCTCTTACTCTTTTAAGTCATAGATTTCCAATCCTAAATAGACCTTAAGAGCTTCCCTCTCAAGGCAAGGTACTACATACACTTCACTCGCCCCATACCAAAGAGAGGGTATCTGTTCCATTATTCTGCTGACTAAAGCCTTGATGTTTGGCCACTCGTCAAGTCTCCCTTCATAACCACCATAGGAGGTGTCTGCAAAGTTTCTCTGCACCACAAAGGATTAACAATGGCCAGCAATGCCAACATGAGATGACAAAGTACGAAGGAGCGCAAGTAAATGTGAGATGGCAGACAAACTCACACACAATGAGCAGCAACAACTTTGCAAGAAGATCATTGCCTCAGCCTTTAAGCTCTGTCTTCCAGGTGGACCTTTGATGCATATACTACACCTGTGCATTATGTACCAGGTAAATGCCATAAACTAAGAAAGTGAACTCATTGCAAGAAAAACCTGTGACAAACATGTATTTTATTGAGCAAAAATTAACTATACTCAAAAGATAAAGGCAAACATCAGTAAGCATAAATTGAAAAAGATATTCTTTGCCTCCACACCCACCCCAAAAGGGAAAGTGGAAGAAAATTAACAGAAAAGCACAAGCACACTTCCATGACATGAAGCAGCTTGTAAGGAGTAAAAGAGAGAGCACAATAGCCAGCGTGTCTTGACATACACGAGAAATTTCTCCAAAAGGAACTGCTCGCCAAAGTACTCCACAACTGTCTTGGCTCTACACAAGAAGTGTTCATTCCATATTGCTGAACCACTCGTGATTCGTGAAACAGAACCAAAGGACCACCATTCCATGTTGCAGACTTATTTGTGGCATCTTATCAACAACATTTAATGACAATGTAAGTGGGCAATTCAGAAAACAATGTAACTTTTTTTTAGAAGTGAAGTTTACTATAAAATTATTTTTAGAAGTTTCTTTCATAAGAATTGAGGCAGCAATTAAGTAATTAGAGTCAAAACCTAGATTTGCATACCACAATATATTCTAAATGTACAAAACCTCTTATATTAGAATCATCTATTAGTAAATAGTATCAGACAGTACAGAGATTGGACCACACCGAAACTAATTCAACCAATAAAAACAAATACTACTAGTACTATGCCTCAATGTCAAAGTAAAAGGGTTCAGCATATGAACCCTCAATTGGACCAAGTTCAGATAAATAACCTATAAAGCATATGAGATCAAGACATAGAGATTGACCCAACTTGATTCACACAAAAATGAGGACAATAAGTTCAACGATGAATTTCCTCTTCATGAACATTGGGGGAATATGCACATAACATTCTAAAATATTGAATGCAAAGGATAAAAGACCTACAGACATGGATTAACTTGTTAAATAAGATACAAAACGTTTCTAAATATTACTCCATCTAACACATCACCTGCAGAGTGTTCTCGTGAAATTCCTTATGCACCTGCCTTAGATGTGATTTTGGCAACTGAAAAGAGAGAGAGCAAACCTTACTGCTCAACTGACAAGGAAGAGTATCAAACAACTTCATTCCTAAACAGCATCATTTTTTGTAATGCCCAGGATGGAGGGTGGTTGATGCGGGCGGGTCAAAGAGAAAGAGTTGGCAGGCTTGTATGTTGCCAAGCTGCTCATATACATATGACACCTAGGAAAATCTCACGTCAAAAAGCTTGAAAAATGAGTGAAGTGATATATATGAACATAGCAAAGTTCACACAGTATGAGTGCTTTTGGGCATTGATGATAGAGTTGTCCAAGAGACAAATCTGTGAGTTTGTTAAGCCAAAGCACACAATATGTGCCACAGCTTATATTATACCAACTATGACATCAGTGTCAAGTTCCCAAAGTACGATGATGGGGAAAATCTTACCAAGAACACTAAGTTGTAAGGAGGCACCCTCACGTGACACTAACGACGGAGGGCGAGTTAATGAGGAAGAGTGGAAGTTTTTAGTTAACGAGGATTGGAAGCTTCTGAATAAGGGGTACATATGCCGTGGGAGGGTACTATGATACCACTACACCAGATGCGCTTCTTGTTGTTAATGGTGCCACAAACCTTAAGAGTTTCCTTCTCAAGGCAAGCTAAGTCTACATAGACATCACTTTGTGCCACTTTTTTGTTAGCATGGCAGTCAATCTTCCTCGAACTGTATTAGAATCAGGCTACATTTACATTTTCGTTTTCTTGGAGATTTCAAGTTCGCTTTCTTTGCCAGTGTTGGCGACGAATCTCGGGATCAGCCCACCCTTTTCCCATTCAGCAAAACTGGAAAAGGACTTGGGACTTGTCATGGACAGCAACATATCTACTTCAGGATAAACATGGAATGGCTGCTGTGTTTCAGAACTCAGGAACTGCCTTCCACATTCTGTTACTTCTGGATATATTATCTGCACACAGTCTACAACATTCGCTATAAATGATCATCTGTATCATTGAAAATAACCACATACAAACATACTCCAAGTTCAAGATCGATTTCAAAGGTAACATGACATAAAGGAAGTGGAAAATAAGGCACCAACTGAAAACCTTTACCTCCACCACCCTCCCCTCCCAGAAGAAATATACCTGCTAAAGATGCATCATTCTAGTATTGTCGTGAAACCATAGTTCCAAGAAAACAACAGCAGTTTTAACAATCAAACTTCCACACGTTTGACTAGTTCTATCTTTCCACGTTCTTCATCAAGAAGGAGGAACCAGACAGATAAAGTAAAACAAGCAAATCACAAATATAGCAACCAAGCAAAAGGGTAATTAAACGTCTTATTCTTAGTGACATTTTTAAACTACTGCAGTTTTCCTGGTAAACAATCTTATCATAAGGCAGTCCTGTCCCAATATAATCATCTATTGTCTTTTAGCTTTGTCCCAAAAACCCTTGACCTCTTTCATAAATTAAAAGAAACTCATATCCAGGACATTTCAAATTATAACAACAGTACTGCTTTACTTTCAGAAATAATATAATTATCCAACCGAGGATGAGTGAGGGGATAAACTGAAATATAGGCGTGGGTGCTAAAGACCATCGAAACCTATGATCTAGACTATTCCAGAGTTGTCAGAAATGGGATATAATAGCAATATGTGGAAAAAGGTTTGAAACATCAAACTTCTGAAGCAACTTTTCTTGTTTGGTGTGCAGTGCAAGATGAAATCCTAACAGTGGACAACACAAGAATAAGGAGGAGGATATTTGTGAGTTGGTATTTATGTGCGAAGAATCTGGAGAAGATACTAATCATCTCTCGTTGCATTGGTGGTTGGCTATACAACTGTGGAGTCTCGCATTCTCATTGCTTAACATCTGTTCGGTGTGATCACCGACAGTGGAGTAAACAATTACAAGTTGGAGATCAGAGAGGATAGGCAATGGAAGGAAGGCAGGTTGGAATACAAAACCACCTTGTGTCTTTTGAAGTATACAGAACAAACGGAATTTTCACAAACAGGCGAATGTTGATAGTGCAAATGACAGAGAAAGTATTAGAAGATCTTTTCTATTTCACTTGTATTTTTGGTATGACAGAGAAATAACACATTGTATGGATAGTTGGTCAAATTTGGTGGAAGATAATGTATGACTCCAGCAAAGTCATGCGTGCATCTTGCATTCAATGAGCACCTTGTATTTCATAAAAATTGGGGGCAGTATAATCCTTACGTATGGGTACTACTTTTTGGCACCAACCTGATATTTGTTAGTGAAACTTCTTGACTTAAACATATAGAATAGACCAACTTGAACCTTCATAAGACCAATAATAGAAAATTAGAAAGGATTTCAAGTAATTGTTTACACTCCCTGGTTGGCTGTCACATCGTACATGATTCTAAAATCAGAGTTTTCAGCAGTGAGTAAGGTATAAAATGAGAAGGATATATCAGATAGGTCATAAAAGTAACGAAGAATGGATGGATTTGAGAAACATAGTGCCAAAACTTAGTTGGTACAACCTTATATAAAATAATTAAGGTTACAGTGCAGAAAGCATAACATGTCGTCGCCCTCCCTAATAAATCCTTCTACTTCCCACAGTCAAGCAAGACCTCTCCACCACAAGAGGTCACTTGCACTAAATTGTTGACACTACAACAAAATACACAGAAGACAAATGACAAGATTAGAGTTGCAATAGGAAACGGTAAAATACAAAAGAGCCTTAACAACAATGTTGTAAATATGGTGGAAAACAACAAACACGGATCAATTTAAATAAAACAAATATCTGGCAATTCTCATGCATTGGTTGAACACAAACAGAGTGGAGTTGATGTTATATGCTAGCAGAAAGATTGAAAACAAAAGTAGATATAAATATAATTCTCGATAAGTATCAGAATTTACAAGAATAGAGGAATGCATGAGCAACTTAAAGGTACTCTCTAAAAAATGAATAAATTTAAAGTGGTATAGTATACCAGAATACATGCAAAGCGGATTGTCAAAGTTCTGTAAAAGAAAATTGGCACTTATGAGATGAGCAAAATAAAACACGACCTTGTTAAGAGTAGAGTAACATGTAGCAGCAGGACAGCTGCTCGACAAATTGAACCTATTTTCAGTATGACATAGTAGCTTTACACCATAAGGCGGGAATTGCAGATTGTTATAAGCAACCCAACGTGTAATTGATGTCGAAAAAGATTTTGAACAAGTCTCTTCGAGAGCAATCCAAATTACAAACATGATATATCTCCAGGGAACTCTATTGGCAGGGCATGAAAGATCTGAGAAAGTGGTAACAAGAAGCTCATTCAAATTGAAGGAAGATTTGTAGGTTCTTTGTCATATCCCTTGGCAGACATGCTTTCTAAAAGGGCCCTCACGGAGAATTTTCAATGGGGCATGCACATTAAACTAGAAGACAGCAAGGGAGAATTTTCAATGGGGCATGCACATCAAACTAGCAGATAGCAAGGGATAAGAGGTAGAGAAAGGGCCTTGTGCAGAATAAGTACCTGTTCTCTTATTTTGCCGACTAAAGCCTTGATGTTTGGACTCTCACCAAGTCTCCCTTCATAACCACCATAGGAGATGTCTGCAAAATTCCTCTGCGCCAGAAAGGATTAACAATGACCAGCAATGCCAAAATGAGATGACAAAGTACGAATGAGGGCAAGCAAATGCGAGATGGCAGACATACTCACACAATGAGTAGCAACAACTTGCAAGATGATCATTGCCTCAGCCTCTAAATTCTGTCTTTCAGGTGGACCTTTGATGCATATATCACACCTGCGCATTATGTGCCAGGTAAATGACATAAACTAAGAAACTGAACTCTCATTGCAAGTAAGAGAACCTACGATAAACAAGTATTTTCTTGAGCAAAAAATAACTTTACTCAGAGATAAAAAGCAAACAGCAGTAAGCATGAATTGAAAAAGATATTAGCAATGGGATACATTTGGCACATCTTTACATGCATAGAAAGTCATTTTTTACTTCGAACTGCTACAAATGAATCTCTCTTTTATGTGGCATGTCCTGTGATAAAATGAGTACCAGAAACCTCAATTTAGAGACTAACTTAGAGGAATCAAATATTAGAAATGAATTAATAGCCCACCCCGAAAAGAAACGTGGAAGAAAATCAACAGAGAAGCACAAGCACACATCCTTGACATGTAAGGAACAAAGGAAAAAGCACAATAGCCAGTGTGTCTTGACATCCACGAGATATATCTTCAAAAGTAAGTGCTCGTCAAAGTACTCCACAAGTAGCTTGGCTCTATAGCAAGAAGTGTACATTCCATATCTGTTAAACATAACCAACACATAAATGGAAACCAAAGTACTAATTGAAGTCGTTCAATTAATAATTAGCTTACAACCAAAGCAATCAGAGTAACAGCTTATATGCTTGTTTTGTTTGCTCCTCACTTCTTTGACTTGGTAGAAGCGTAGGTGTCCTTTGACAAGTTTGCATACAGAACTGTTTCACAAAAGAAATTAAACAGCTCAAAATACATGTAGTGCCTCCCTCCCTCTTGGGAGCCGATGTCTCAGATCAATAGATAAACATGACTCTTCTGGATAATTTAAGTTGAATAACAGAGCATTTGGTGTATGTGTATCACAATCAAACTTTAGCACTGCAGGATAAACTCTGCTAAACCCAGGAGAAGGCATGAGTTTTCTTATCACCATAGGTATTCATATAATATTATGCACAATATCACACTCATCTTCCGGATGCTCAACAGACAATTGTCAGTCCTTCCATGAATCTTAATCATATCTCCCAGGAGAAGATACTTCATTGTCACTGTCAGAAACAATGAAGCATTACATTCATCCATGAAACCATTGGAAGCATTATCAGAGCTTTCAGAGTTCTCCTCCGGATTTGTTCACATTAACTTATTTTTCGAGGAAGACTTACCTTTTCTGGAATAAGTATTTTATCCATCATAAAAATCCATTTTGTAGGATGCTAAAGATGATGTATTAGAGTGCACTTCACCTGCAAGGAGCAGAACTGAAGTGATTTACTATTATTTCTATCAGCATATGTACAGAGAATGAAAACTGTACCTTTAGAAGGTTCAAACACTAACACTTGAGCAAAAATAAAACTAAAACTTTATTAATATGCAATATAACCCTGTCATGGTATTATGCAGCAGTTATAAAGTGACACAAAGATTATGGATCTAGCTTAAATACCATAACTAGTCAAAGAAAGTAGTAATTTAGTCCTTGAGTATAAATACAGGATGTCAATTGATAGGCGAACATAATGACACATTTTAAGTATTGAGTACTCTGAATAATTTAACTTCATGGAAGTTTAAATGGTGTATGGATGATTAACAATAAATAAGTGTGCCCTTTCCCAGTTCCCCCCCCCCCCCCCCCATACACACACACACACAACAAACAAAATAAGGAAAAAATAAGAGAAACAAAGAGAAGAGTGAAACGGTGCAGCAACTGCAAATGCATGACATACAAGGAATACCAAACCAAAAAATTACCGTACCACGGTGTAGATTAATTAACTACAAAATCGGAGATTTGGCAGGAAAAACAAAGCGAAAATTTGTGTCACCTTTGACATGTGCAATGACCGAAGAATGTATTCTCGAACATGAGTAGTGGCAGTAGCAGTCAGTGCCATGATCGGAATGTCAAACTTCAGAAACTTCATGGTATCCATTCTAAAGTTCTCTCTCAAAACAGATATGCCTATGATACCCGGAAAATTTGTCAATATTCTCCTGCAGCTTTTGCTTGGCTAGAACAGAGTTGAAACGAGATATATCCGAGGAGTTTGTCTAGTCATATGCATGGTATTTTTTAATCAGTTAATAAGCATGATATATTAAGAGTCATATCTACGCTCAACTGGTGAATTAGTCCCTGTAATTGAATAAGAGAAATAACTAGGAAATAAATGGGACATACTAGAGTCAGGTGTAGCAAAAGACCACAGTGCAAGCACTGTCTTCACAACAGAATGATAACAAAACTCAAGGAACTTAAGAAAGTTGTTGTGGTGTGTTACTAGATTAACGAGGAGAAAAAATTCGATAATTGCTTGTCAGTAGTAACAGAAACAGCAGAGGCTCCTTGAGCTTCAACTGATCAAGTGCCTAAACAAACACAGAACCAGAATTCGGAAGGTGAGCCCACCCTAGCCCACACCCAATGTGAACTACCACCTGCAAAGACTGTAGTTGGCTTGGTCATAAGAAGTTCCTTCTTATTATTTTCACTCTAAGGAAAAGACTTTAGGATTTAAGTTACCATTTTCAAAAAAAAAAAAGAGACTATAGATTCATCTTATATCAAAGGACTTACCAGTGCTGAATCTTTGACCAATTTCAATAAATTTATCAAAAAACAGAAGAATATAAACCTGTAATTTGGTGGAAAATCATGTCCCCACTTAGAAACACAATGAACTTCATGGACTGCAACTAGAGCAATGCCATGACTTTATGCAAGGCTTTGGAGGAGTTTTATGAGTCTGAAAGAAAAGGGAAAAAAAAACCAGGAAACTCATTTGTCAAACAACAACCAATACTATCCTTGAAGTACAATTCAAAAGATTAACATGCTCAATACCTTAGAATTGTCTCAGGGCATACATAAATGATGCTATATATGCCTGCCATTGCTTTCTGCTCAACACTTTGATCAGTTTGACAAGACCCAAGGAAGCAAGCAGAAACACCATGTTTTGTTAACTTCAAACACTGATCATGCATCAAGCTAATCAACAGTGATATAACAATGACAACGTTCCCAGTCAGCAGTGCCGGACTCTGAAAACACAGATTTCCCTACAGAAACATAACTCCGAGGGATCAAAAATCATATTTTACAAGGGAGAGAATAGTGAAGAAAGAAAAGTGTGAGGGGCTAGTACCTGATCCTGTTGCTGAAAGAACAAGACAACCTTGATGAGACAATCAAGCTTCTAGAGCTTCCTCCTGAAAATCCTTCAACAATGAAAGTCCAAAGTGTTTCTGCAACAAATTCTTGGCTATTCGTGTTGATGTAAAACCACAAAATAATAAATAACAGGACATCTGTTAAAAATGAACAGAAACTGTCAAACAACCTACTTGATCAATATCCTATAGACTACAACAATTCCAAGTTAAGAACATCATAGTTGTCATATGTACAGCAGCACCAATACAATAGAAAAGAAGATGTCAGTCCAACATTTCGCAAAAACATTGTCATATCTTCCTCCCATCAGCACCAGTCCATCTCATGGAGACACCAAATCCTTCAAAAGAAGGCAGAACTTCAGGTGATGAAGTAAAATAATAAATTGAGCAGAACTTTCTGCACATCAAAATGGCATTTGTCAATGTCAAGAAACTAATACTTAACATTGTCATCCACCTTAACATAGCAGGTCCCCAAATGCCTATAATAACTGATACTGTATGGGAAGTGGAGACTAGGTTAAAGTTCAAACTAAGAGTAGACAACTTAGAAAAATAACAAACATAAAAGAATAGTCTTATAAGGAAGTACATCTCATGGAAAAAGGAAATAAAAGTTCTAATATAAGAATATTCACTTGGAAAAAATTATGATACTAGAAATGGAGCATCATACTAAGAGGAGAAAAAATAGTTTCAAACTTTCATGTTAAGCAGATGCCCTCAACATCAGAAGTAGCAAACGAAGGAACATAAGAATTCGTTGAAGAGCCTCACCGGTCACTGCCTTTTGTGCAACTAGTCTAAGCAATTAAAATTGCATAATAGCACAACTTGCCATATATTCTTAGCAGCTCACCTCTTGATCCTCAATACATTAACAGACCCCCATTCTCTTACACGACACAATTTCAACTTTTACGAAACAATCAAAATCAAAAAGACTACACCATGTAAAGGAAAATGGCTACTGAGGGAGATTGTGGAAGTTTGTTCAATCCAGTGTCTTAATTCTAAATACTACAAATCAAAACCTCTTATAGTTAAACTACTAAAAAATTCAAGCTGTCAGAGTGGGGCTGTAACGATTCAAAAAATTTTTTTTATATAAATAAGAATAAATAAGTATTTAAAGGGCGTAATTGTCCTTTCACGTTTTAAATGAATAAATAAATAAATAAATCAAAAACAGATTTGTATTTATTTATTATTTGACTGATTTTTGAATTAGTCTCCTAATCCAAATAGTCCTCTCTCTCTCACGCTCCTTAACTCTCTCTCTCACGTTCTCCATCTTCATCACATTATTTCTGCCAAAAACATCAACAGTTTTCATGCTTGAAAAACTCACAAAAAAATTTTCAAGTAAAAGAAAATAAGTAATCAAAACGTCAAGGCTAAGAGAGGTTCGTCGAGAGAGGTGTGCGTTGAAGTGAATTGGGAGTGGTTTGGAGGAGTTTTCCGGGCAGCAACATTAAAGTTTGAACATCGATTAAGGTATGGGTTTCTTCTCTCTTGGCTCCTTTCCCAAGAGGCCCCTTACGATTCAAGTTATTCATCTCGAAACTAAGGCTGTTTCCCGTTGCATGCCCCTGTCACTAGCTCCCAATGAATTTTAGGTTGGGTATGATTGCTGGTAGATTTAGGTGTATATTATGTTTTCGCGATGAATATGATTATGTTTGTGTACTTGGAATCGTATGAAAGGCAACCATGTTTTTCTTGAAATTATGTGTAAGTATGTTACAGTGAATGAGGTTCTTTATGTAATGCTCCAAAAGTTTAATGTAATATGATTGTATATTTTTCGTGAATAAAATGGGGTAAGACGTGAAGTTCATATGAAATGTTAGGTGGCTTGATTGAGGGAGTAATTCTTGGTTAGACGAATCTATAAAAAAAAATATAATGTGTAATTAAAACATTATGAATGAACCATGAAATTTCCCTAAGAATTAATGTTAAACTTGATGAAAAAGTGAAGAAAAATCGTAGAATAAATTTCCAGAACTTGAAAACAGACTTTAAAAGAATCTGGAAATTTTTGAACATCAAAAAATTTAAAAAAAAAAGTTTTGAGGCCTGCAGGGATCGAACCCAGGACCTCCCTGCAGCATGCCTTAATTAAAAAAAAAAAATGGGGCTGGCAGGGATCGAACTCGCGACCCCAGCCACGCGCAAAAAAAAAAAAAAGATTTAAAAGGGAATGCTGGGGGCGGGGATCGAACCCACGACCCCCAGTTCGCGAAAAAAAAAAAAGAATAAAAAGGGATGCGAGGCGTGGGGATCGAACCCACGACCTCAGAGTTGAAGGGAGGGGTACAAATATTAAGGAAATAAAGGTGAGGCTGTGGGGGTTCGAACCCACCACCTCACAGCCTCCATTTCCAGCGAAAATAAGAGAAAAATAAAGGGGGCTGTGGGGGTTCGAACCCACAACCTCCCTATTCAAGCGAATGTAATTAAAAATAATAATAATAATAAATTAAAATTCTAATTAAAGTTGAAAAAAATTAATTCTCTTATGTAAACATTGAGATTAAATTTAGAATTTTGATTAAAAATAGAATACTAATTCTTTTATGTAAATATTGAGATTTAAATTAGAATTCTAATTAAATTAGGAAATTATTCTTTCATGTAAATGATTGAAATTTAATTTAGAATTCTAATTAAAATAGAAAATGTATTATGTCACGAAAATGTTGAGATTTAATTTAGAGTTCTAAATTTATGAATATTAGAACTAAAATCAATGAAAAATATAAATGATGTCCAAATAATTCAAGATTTGGGTTCTCGTGCCCAAACCTCCGTATTGATACATAAGTCATACGTGAGTAAAATATTCAAGAATAATGTAATCTACTTTGATCAAAAATCAAGATCTTGGTATATATACAAGATACATAAGTCTTGTAATACATAATCTTAGGAAAATAAGAATCACTTAACGAACTATAAACGAAGCCCCATGGCTTGTATGTATAGACACATAAGTTTAACATACGTTCAAAAAAATAAGTGAACCTAAGATGTACGTAATGAAATGAAGAATGTGGTGACAATCATGATGTGAGGCTAATGTATATGGAGAGAGCAATCTCAAACGAGCCTAAGTAAATGTTACCAATACGTATTCATCAATGAGGGTGTAAGATAATGAAGAGACCAGTCTCTATAAGTACTTTAATGAAAAATATTGAGTTTAAAACACTTAATACTAATAATGAGATGAGAAATCATCTATTGAGCTATGATGCCCTCATACTAGAAGACAACTTCCATGATGTATGAGTTGGATGTAATGGAACTTTATACTGAGCACCGATAGGCTAGCTATGAGCGGTGATGCCTTCTTTCGGGAAGGGCGGAGGTTCACGTAATTCTCATGAGATGAGACTGTCCGGCTTGCCGGGTATGGGTCTCCACACATCTCCTAGTCTTTGAACCTATATTGCCACTATAGGGATCTGGCGGGGTTAAATTCCCATATACGCTAGCATGTTATTTGAATCGCTTTGGCCGGTGATTCCACCTCTTTTCGGTGTGGGGAAGACACTGGATTTCATGATGCTCACATGATCTATGTCGGTTAAAGTTAAAGTTCCCAATGAATGAATGAGGCCAGCCTCAAATGAATCATATAAAGAAATGAATGATACCGAAGGTGTTAGGATAGGATAATCAAGAGGTGAGCTAGATTCAGGTAATGACATTAGGTCATTCCTGATCATTGCACAGCAAACCCGATGAAAGTCTTAAACTACATCCTAGGTATAGCTGGTGTTCGCACTGGCCTATGAATGAATTGAAATGAAATACGAATGAATGAGTGAAGCAGACTCTGTGTTTGCTAAAGAAGGCTCCCTAGTTGAGGTCCCATATGTTGAGCCCTCATTTTGGAAAGTCTTAAAGTTAAGTCTATGATAATAAGGTCTCATAGTATACGAATGAATAATATGAAAGAAAGTATGTGTTATATGTTATGTGTTATATGAATATGTTATGTTTTGTGTGCTATACGATAATTATAATGATGCATGTCACTCTCATGGCATAACTTTCCCAATCTCAATTTGGCAAGTCCACTGACTTGACTTCCAAAAATCATGTTGTTAGGAAAGAGCTATTCTTCCTCATGCATGTCCCTGGTGTGTACTTGCATATACTCATACTTAGTACAAGTGTGTACTAATTCCATACGAACATCTATTTTTAGGTGCAGGCACAGGTGGACGCTAGAGCTACAGGTTCGTTGTTGCAGCTATCCGGACATCAGTATTCATCCGGAGTTTGGTAGGTCCTCATGCTTTCGAGGATGCTACTGTTTTACATTCTAGCGTAGTTTTAGAGTTGAGCTAGCGGAACATGTTCCACTAGCGTTTCTTTCCTGTTTTGGTTCAAACTTTGTATTGGTGCTATTTTGGCCGATATACAATTAATACTTAATGAATTATTTCTTTCAGTTGCTTATCTCTTAAATGTTAGATGGTTGATGATGAACGATTACGAAATGTTAAGAATGTTCAGCAAGTATGATTAAAGAATCAAAAATTTCAAATTTTCCGCTAAAATTAATCTATGTAAAGTAAGAATGACGTAAGCAGGCTTGTCTGCGACCTCTGAGAGGTCAACGACGCCGGTCTCGTCTGGGGTCTAGATTCCGGTCGTGACAAAGTTGGTATCAGAGCGCTAGGTTAAATTCCTAGAATAATGAGTTCACATCAACCACATTGAGTAGTTTCTAAGTCATGGTAGTGAAGTGCACCACTATCCTGGATTAGAGACTGCATGATGCGTAGGAAAGACTTCCCTTCTTCTTATCTTATTGTGCTCTTCCTAATGTTTAAATTCTTGGTGTTACGAACGTGTCTAACATCAACCTTGCTGTTTTCAGAGAATGAATACCTGGGGAACTAAGGGTCTGAGGACGGGAGCAGCAGCAGCTTGGGGTAATCAGAATCCACCCCAGGCTCCAGCTGAAGGAGTGGCCATGCCAGTGAACCCAGCTGGGTTGACTAATGCGGAGGTGAGGGCATCTCTAGCCCAGATGGCACAGGCCATCACGATGCAGGCCCAAGCTATGACTGCCCAAGTCAACCGGCAGGATGTTCTGAGGGAAAACCCACCGGCTCGCAGCATAGCTGACAGACTGCGAGACTTCACAAGGATGAATCCTCCAATTTTCACAGGGGCTAAGACTTCAGAAGATCCCCAGGAATTTATAGACGAGTTGCATAAGATACTGGTGGCCATGGGGGCCACTGATATTGAGAAGGCTGAGTTGGCTTCCTACCAGCTCAAAGATGTTGCACAGACTTGGTGCAAAATGTGGCGAGATAGCCGTGTCCTAGGAGGGGTGCCAGTCACCTGGGAGCTGTTCAAGACAGCATTTTTGGAAAGGTTCTTCCCTAGAGAGATGAAAGAGGCCAAGGTTGAGGAGTTCATCAACCTCAAGCAAGGATCCATGACTGTCAGGGAGTATTCCCTGAAGTTTGTGAAGTTATCAAGGTATGTACTTCCCTTAGTATTTGATAACAAGAATGATGAGAGTACTTAACTTTGTTGAAATCATCCAGGTATGCTACTCCCTTGGTTTCTACCAGCAGGGAGGAGATGAGCAGATTCCTCACAGGAATCAATGGAGACCTGGAGGAAGATTGTCGGGCTGCGATGCTCCATGATAATATGGACCTTTCTAGATTAATGATGCATGTCCAGCAGGTAGAGGACAGTCGAAAGAGGAGAGGTGTACGTGATGTTAGGAGGCCTAGGCCTCAAGATCAGGCAGGTCCCAGTCATGGAGGCCATAGAAACAATTTTAGCGTCCGCGAGCAGCCCAAATTCAAGAAGGGGCAACAGAGTGCTGGAAATTCTGACCCTCAGAGAAATACAACGCCTAGAGGAGGCAGACCCGAACCCAAGAGGGGCAATGGAGGTGAGATGCAGCGTCCAAGGAAGACTTGTACTAAGTGTGGCCGAATGCACCTTGGAGAATGTAGACAGGGCACTAATGCCTGTTTCGGTTGTGGTAAGAGTGGACACATGGTCATAGACTGTCCCCAGAACAGAGGTCAGGCTGGGGGTAATGCTCAGCCTAGGCCTACCCCACATAATGCAGCAGCAGCCGAACCTCCGAAGAGGAACAGATTTTATGCCTTGAAAGGTAGGGAGGAGCAGGAGAAGTCCGCTGA